AGTAGGCATTGAATGTTCATGGTCTACCTCCTCCTATGCTGTAGATTCTGGACCCAGGAGCTCTTTTATGATTTAGCAGTTAGTACAGTAACAGGCCGAATCCGTTGCTCCCTGACCCTACCTTCAATACACAGTCCTTAACAGCTTGACAGGCTTTCAGTCTATCTGCTTCTAGCTAGTTTCTTCGGTAAAAGCCACAGCTGAAGAGCTAGTATGGACATCTTTTTAAATACATGAGACCCAACATGGCTTGAGAAGGTAAAAGTAAAGCTCTCTTATGGCCCCAAACACCAAGCCACCAAGTTTACATTCATACAAAGGCTTCTGAGGAGATATCTCAGGTCACTTTGTAGAAGATGGGGGTCCTAGAAGAGCTACCCCTCCCTCATCTAATACGCTGTTACTGTCTGGGACAACAGAAGACAAAAGGTAAGGACACACCCACAGGTCTCATGGCCTGCTTTCTCCCCGGCCTCTTCCCATCTTCTGGTCTAAAGACAGTGGTGTTCCTCTACTAGCTTCGTTAGGTAAAGTGCCACCAACAAGCTTGTTTCTTGCTATCTTAAAAGGAAGGTAAAGACAACCAAGACATTCTTTTCCTTTATTTGTCCAGTTGAAAAACCGCATTTGGGATGTCAGAAGCTAAGTATTATCTCATTCTTCACATTTCTTTTTCTTTGACCATCCGAATTCTACTTCTCAGACAAGTGGTTGTTTGGGTGACCAGAAGAGGGTCACATACACAGAAATCTAAAAGGGAAATGAATGAATCCTATTTTTCAAAATAGGATTCTGTTTACATAATTAAGGACTTCCTGTTTCGCTAGGGTAAGTCCAGAATGTGTAAGAGAGTCTGTCAGGTTGGCCTCCTCTTTATCTCCCTAGCCTCAGCTGATCCAGCTTCTGGCCTCTTATTTTCACAATCCTCCCTTCCACAACCACACTGAGTTCTCTCCGTTCCTTTGACAGATTTGCTCAGGATCTCCTCAAAAGCTAGAGTACAGCCTAGAAAGCGCTTTGTCTCTCTAATCATCCAACTCCACTTCCTAGGTTTTGAGTTACAGATCACTTGTTGTTGTAGGGAGAACTTTCTAACACATAGCATCTGTCTGGTAATTATTTGGGGGAGGGGAGTGCTGGTACTCAGTCTTAAGCTCAGGGCCTCAAACTCTCACTTGCCTTTTCCACGCAAGGCTGCCACTCTCCCACTTGGGCCATTGGAGATACAAGACTCACAGACTTTTTTGTGGGGGTGGGGACATGCTGGCTCATTTCAAACTATGATTCTCAGATCTCAGCCTCCTGAATAGCCTTCTGATTACAGGCACGAGGCACCAGTGGCCAGCTCATTTGTGTTTTAAAGGAAGCATGAAATTTCCAGTTGGCTCAACAACTAAGAATGGTAAGAACACTGTCATACTGTCCTTAGGTCACCACAATCTCCAATCTGGATTGGGAAGATGAGTTTCTACAACACAGATGGATTTAAAGCTCTTCATGTTTCCTCTTTTTATTTCTTAGTGTAACTTTGACTGGTGCTCTACCACTTGAGTCACAACTCTACCTTGGGCTTTTTTGGAGCGTGGTTAATTAGAGGTAAGAGTCTCAGGCTGGCCTTGAACCATGGCCTTTAGATCTCAGCCTCCTAGGTAGCTAAGATTACAGGTGTGAGCCACAGGTACCCGGCTTGGCCTTAAAGTTTCTTTTAAAAATTGCCATTTTACTTCATTTGCCCCAGTAAAAATCCCTTTGTACATTCTGCATTTATTCCTCACAACTATCCCCAAGATGAGAAAACTCAGGCTCTCTGGGGAGGTGATTTGCCCAATGTTACCCAGCTGATCATCGGAGAACTACATGCAACTCAGCAATGACTGCTCTTTCTTGGTGCTTTTTGCTTCAGTCTTTCTGCCTCATCATGAAATAAGCCATGAGTGAAACGATCTCTTGTAGAAGTTTTCACAGAAGTTGTTAATTTAAGTGGAAGATAAGAAAGTTTCTCTGCGGAAGACTTAAGTACTAAACTCCAAAGTTGGGTTCAGTGCAAACTCAAGGCAATGCACCTTTTGCAGGTCTATAAGGACAGCAGGCAGAGGCATTCATCACCTGTGGGAGCAGCGGACCATATCACAGAGGTGGCAGGGTTGGCTTCTCCATGTGCTGCGGGGTCTTGGTCACTAGCTAGGGCTTTCCCTGCCTATCTTGCCCGTCTGGCTCAGTGTCCAGTTCGCTAACAGCACCCAGGTGGAGCCCAAAGGCACCCAGGCAGCTATCTCCTTGAAGCTTCATGCTTAGGATGGTCTGTGCACAGTACTAACCCAGCTGAGGGGTTTGCAGGCACTTTGGAACTGGATATAGAAGGAGGCTCAAATCTCTTCTTGGTCACTCATTTGCTCAGTGACCTTGAACACGTTACTTAACCTCCCTGAACTTCCATTCTGTTATTGGCAAAACTATTCCATAGGGTTGCCATAAGGACTATGGGACATAGTGTACTTTAAAAGAACTCAAACGCAGTCAGCCCTATAAAGGACCCACACCATCATTATTGAAGCCATCTTCCCCTATGATGAGAGAGGGATGAAGCAACAGGTCCAAGGCTATACAGCCAGTTAGTGAACAGGCTGAGCTTCCCCCTGTGACCATAGTTTCTATTCCTCCCCCAGCCAGGCCCCTTCTGAGAATCCCTAACCCATGAGCTGAACCGATAGCCTGAACCTCACACTAACTGCGGCTGCCTCCCAGGCCTGTTTGTCAATGGCATGAAGAAACCACAGGTGGCTACTGTTTCCCCACCCAGCCACAACATTGTCATTGGTCTGCAGGTTGTTGGGGTTTTTCCTGCTACCCTTTGTGGGAGATGAGCCCCCGCTTTCATGGGCCATCTGAGGGTGCCGAGCCCCTGACCTGCTTGTCCTGCAGGTCCAGGGACTCAGTGTCCAGGTACTCACCTCTACCCCGTCACCTGCTTCGGCAGCCATCGGTCTTTGCTTGACTTCGGAACAGCTATCACCGTTTCCAACAAGCTGCCTCACATGCAGATCTGTTCAGAGTAGCCTCTGAGATCAGGACAGATACCTCGACACTGTGCTACAGAGCTGAGGCGCCCTTGCTTATATCGATCTGTCTCTGGTGCCCTAATGTTGGGCATCTAGTGACCAGCAGGTGTACCCAGCTGTCTGAGCCCTGTGCAGATCTTTCTGTGGGGCTATCTGTCATGCTGGAGCTCCTTTCCCTTCTGCTTCTTCCAATTCATACAGACATCATGACTATTGTACCACCTACCTCTACCCCCAAGCCTGGTAGCTACCACTCCTTCCCTCTCCTGTGTTTCAGGCCAACCTGGGACTCAGGAGCAGGTGTGAGCAGGTGAGTGGTTGACAGGAGACCATTAGATGATCCCCCTTACCTGCCAGGCCCAGCAGGGAGACCCACCAAGGGCCCATCAGGAGTGGCCACCAAAACATAGCCTTGCTGTGTGACAGCATGAATTGTGCATAACCTAGGGGGTAGCTCCCATCATTATCCCCACATGAGAGATGGGGAAATGAGGGAGAGAGAGAGGGGCTAAGCATCTTGTCCAAGGCCACGTAGCCTGAAACTGGCAGAATAGGGGCTGAAGCCATCGTCTGGACCCATGTGCTATTAGAACCCTGACTGTGCTATCAGGCCTACAGCTTGCTCTCCCTCAGGACAGGGCTGGTCAGGACAAGCATGTGGAGTGTCACCCATTAAAGCCCTTCCCTCCACCACACACACACACACACACACACACACACACACGAGTTTTCCCTGCTGTAGCCCCCACTCTAGAATCCCCCAAGAGTGTCATGGAGAATCACCTTGCTACCAAGGTGTCCTGGGCCAGGCCTGTGGCCAGCTACCTCCATCACTACGTGGAGAAGCATTGTCAGCTTAGAGGCACCCGGTCTGGGAATAGAACCTAAGCCTCAGTAGGCTGCCTGAGACCTTCCTGCCACTTGGACCTGCCCCAGGGCTGGCATGGAGCTAGGACTACAAGAAGCCTGGAAGTGTATTGGGTATGGGAGGTATTGCCTCTGGCTTTGGCCCTTTCTGCTTCCTTTCTCACCCTTCCCCTGTGAGCTCTAGGAGCAGCCCCATCTCTCATGCTCCCGCTCCCAACCCCAAGTCTCATTCTCTTTCTTGCCACCAAAACACACAACTAAACTTAACTTCTTACTCAGCACAGGGCCTGGCAGGCGGGCGGCTCTACAGGTGTGCCTTGCTCTGCCCTTTGTGCTCACCTCTGACCTATACCTCCAGCCTCCACTCAGAGGTACCCACTCGCTGGATAAAGGCTGGACTCTTTTTGGCCTGGTCTCATTGACATTGCTCTTATCCCTTTTCTGCCTTTGAAAACTCCTTATCCTGAAGGCTGCAGAAGCATTACCTTCTTCAAAGCTTTCTGGGGTTCCCTGGGCAGCGAGTCTCCTGCGAGCTGCCACTGGTCTGCCCACATTTTCCAGAATGATTCCCAGGAGCTTATAGGGCATTGATGATTCATTTGCTGTCCTTTGAGTGCCACAAAGAAAGGTGGGGTGGAGATACTTCTTTTTTATTTAGATGACTTAAAAAATTCAATTACTTGAGTAATTCATGAAAATATACATGTTGTACAACAAAAGTTTCTTAAGCTGGAGTTGTAAGCTCTAACCTGAAGATACCAGTTAGTGGATTCATTAGGAGTTTTCCCTCTGTATAAATTTATTTAGTATGTTATACAAATGAGTCCACTCTGTAGGCATTATTCTATGACTTGCTTTTTTCTTTCTCTTAATAATGGTGTGTGTTAGGTCAGAATAACACTGTCGCAAAGAGATACACATTCTAAGCTACAAATCTATGGAGATGCTGCCTTCCATGGCAAGAGACTTTGCAGATGTGATGAAAACTCTTGAGCTAGGAAGGCTATCCTAGATGATCTGGGTAGACCCAATGTCATGGTTAGGAAGGAGAGCCTGAGAAGAATACATTTAGAGATGGCTACCTTTGAAAATGGACAAAGGTTGACTATGAATGCCTTCTATGGAAAAATCAAAAGCCAAACAGCAGATCGGAAGGGGCCAAGAGGTAGGTGGGAAAGAAGGCAGTCTGTATTCATCAACTGGGCCCAGTCAGTCCTGGAGGCTTTCTGGAGGAGGGATTGACCTGGACAACTGTCCCATAACCCTAACTTGGGGTGTCTTATGGATATTGTGGGAATGCTCTTTTCAAATCCTTTCACCCAGATTCTGGATTCCAGGTCCTCAGGTATCCAGGAAGAAATCCGCCCAACAAGAAAGATCTGTCCAGGCCAACTTGCAAAAAAAAGATGGCCAGTGACTTGGCCAGCTGCCTCGTGGTTGCAGGTGTCTGGCCAGCACCCAGGGCTAAGGCAGGGCTTGCTCTACCTGGCCTGATCATTCCTATTTGCTCACTGTGGTAAAGGGGACAGTTGCAAACATGGCTCAGACAAGTCCCTGACTGGCCGCCCAAGTCAATGTGAGTGTCCCAGTGACCCAGTGGGAAGGGCAGAGAATGACAGACTCAGGCTTCCGCATCCTGGAGCTCCAGAAATACCTTCTGTGTCAGACTAACTTGGTGAGATACAGGGACTCTCTCTCTCTCTCTCTCTCTCTCTCTCTCTCTCTCTCTTCCTCTCTCTCTCTCTGTCCATTCAATATGGCGCTGGTACAGTGGCTTCAGGAGTCCAAATAAAAGCTGCAATAATTCTCATGTCTGAAATAGGCTCTTGGTATGAAGAAATATAAATATCGTGCATACCAGTCCTCCCACTCAACTATCTGTGGCTGGATTTACTCTATAACATTCCTCGGGCAGAATGTTACCTCGTCTTTGATTGAACTATTCCAGGGATGAGGAGCTTTCCACTTTCCAAAGCAGCCTGAAACATTCCCGGGCCGTGCTCATGGCTAGAGAGCTCATCCTCACACCATCTGTTCCCTGTTCCTGTCTCCCCATGATTTTTTAGGTATTTGAGGGTAGCTAATGACTTTCATCCTGGATGAGGGACATCATGGAGTTTTCCAGAAGGAAAAAAAAAAAAACCACAGCTATTTCAACCCCTTGACTTCCAGGCCTTCTTCCTCTCCTATGGCCCCATGAACAGGCCTGGGACAAGCACGAAGGCTTCTGAACTCTTCTGATTATAGACCACATACACTTCCTCCCACTGTCTGGGGCCAGGTGGGGTTTCTCTCTATCTTTTCTTGGGAAAAAAGGAAGGGATAACCGTCTTGGAGAGAGTGCTGTCCTTGGAGTTGGACTGCCAACCTTCTAGGCCTGGTGGGAGCCTTTAAAGAGGTTACTACATTCACTGAGCTTTAGCTGTGTCATCTATGAAATGGAGAAACAGCTACTGCATTGCTATGAAGTTCAATGACATCACATATAGGAAAAATACTTTAAAAGCAAAAAACATGTTCTATAAATAATTAACCTGTTCCAAGAGTAACTAAAAGAAATGTGAAACTTGCAACTCCTTGGTCCTGGGCCTTCCTCCTGGGGTTTAATTCAAGGCTGGGGCACTGATTCCTTAGTTTTTTTTTAAATCCAAGGTTTGTGTTCTACCTCTGCTCTACTTCAGCTTTTTGTTGGTTAATTGGAGATAAGAGTCTCATGGACTTCCTACTTAGGCTGCCTTTGAACCACGAGCCTCAGATATCTGCCTCTTGGGAAGCTAGGATTACAGGGATAAATCACCTAGTGGCTGACTACCACTCCTTTTCTCTTCCTCTTCCTCCTCCCCCTCCTCCCCCTCCCCCTCCTCCTCCTCCTCCTCCCCCTCCTCCCCCTCCCCCTCCTCCTCCTCCTCCCCCTCCCCCTCTTCCTCCCCCTCCTCCTTCCCCTCCTCCTCTTCCTCCTCCCCCTCCTCCTCCTCCTCCTCCCCCTCCTCCTCCTCCTCTTCCTCCTCTTCCTCCTCCTTCTTCTTGAGTAGGTTTGGTTTTCAGAGAATATCTGACTTCTCAAGCTCTTCAGATGGTCCTTAGTATCTTGTGGCTCCCAGGACAGTGCTCACTGCCCCATATCCTGTGTCTTCCTTCCCTCTTCCTCCCCAGTTCCTCTTTGCCATGTCTCTAGGACAGGGCTCAGTCCAAATCCCTTAGCCCTGGCTCTACAGGCCTGAGAGAACAGCACTAGCCACACGAGGCTGGGTTTGGGGTAAGACTTCCCTGGGGGGCTACCAGGAGGCTTCCTCTCCTCTCCTCCCTCCTCAGAGGCCCCAGGCTGGCCGCTCAGAGTTGCTTCTAAAGCTCTGTTGATCATCACCAACCCCTTTCCAGCCTTTAATTTAGACTAAGGCTAATTCTAATCCCCAATTAAAGTGGATTTTATAGAGAGAAGCAAGGGGGGATTGGGAGTCAGGGAGCCCAGCCTAATGACAGTGGAGGACTCCAAGCAAGAGAATCTCATTTAATCCAGCCCTTCCTGAGTTTATAAGGCCAGGAAGGGAGGCATCCTGCTGGCCAGTGGCTTAGGGTGGGCTCTCTGCCCTGGAGTCTCTTGTCTGAGCCATGGCTCTTGCTGGCTGTCTGCATAGAGGGTACCTTCAAGCCAGCAGTGGCACGTGACTCTATGCTGGCTCTGACTGGACAGAGATGGCTGCCGCCTTCACGGTTCCATAGGAACCGAAAAGCCAGGAGCACCCACAAATAGCAGCATGTCCCCACCTGTCTAACCCCAATCCGGCTTGTCCTGAGTTAGCAGAAGCATCCCTGAGCTCGCTGTACTTCCTTGGTGGGGCTGGGCCTGGCAGCTGGTCCTTCTGCATGCCACACAGCACCCCAATGATGACTGCAAAGGAGGGGACCTGCCCCAAGGCCTCCAAGGCAGGCAGAGGGTGCTGTGCCTCTGGAAGGGGAGGGGAGTGAGGTCTGGATTCTCCGGGGAGGGAGAATTCACAGGGTGTTGGGGGCACCAGAGTGTTCGCAGGTGTTCGCAGGCCCAGAGAGCAGAGCGCTTATTTGTCAGCTGGTGGCTGGTGCTAGGCTGTGGCCTGCAGCCTTCTCTCCAGCTGCCGCATCTTCTCTGCTAGGGCTTTGCAAAGCAGCCTGGAGTCCCACCCTTACCTGCCTGGGGGACATTGAGCAGGAGTGAGATAATGTCTGCTGCTGCTCACCCTCCACGGAGGGAGGCAGTCTCTAGATAGTCTATTTTTACCACCTAGAGCTCAGCCCTGTTCCCACTGGGGCTCGTGGCTGCTCTGGGCCTCTGCAGAAATGCAGGTGCTAGGACCTCCTGCAGGACCAGAGCCAGGTGCTGAGGGCAGGTGCTGAGCGCCAGCTTCCAGCTCTTTAGGACCCAGGCCTTGGGCCCTGGTGAACTCCTGCAAGGCCCTTTGTTTAGGTTCAAGGGGCTGGGCTGCTGCTGGCTGCAGGCATTCTGGTTCAACCAGGAGTGGAACAGCTGGGTGTGTCTGAGGCCTAATGAGCTGGGTGTGCCTGGAGGAGTTGGGAGCCGGGCGGCAGCTGTGGGCGGGTCCCCTCCCACGCAGGTGGGCGTGGAGTTTGCACAACAGTCACCTGTGCTAGGGCGCCTCTTGGCATTCTTGCTGTGTTTATTTAAAAAAAAAAAAAAGCACCCAATTTTGGAGGTGGTGGCAGGGCTATTTCTAAACATATAAAAAGATACTAGGTTAACACCTCCAAATCTATTGTTCTGAGGAACGCTGAAGTCAGGTTGTAGAATTTCCATCATTTCAAAAGAAGGCAGAGTACCAGCAACCCAACAGACTCCTGGTGTCCTTCAGCTCACCCCTTCCCACCATTTTCAAAAGGAAGCAACTGCAGCCTTCACTTGAGGCTAGGGGGTTCATGGGCCTCCCTTCCCCAGCCTCCCCTTAAGCCTGGCCTCTGCTAGGGAGGAGCTCTCTGCTCTCAGGTGCTTGACAGGAAAACAGAACCAGGCCACCAGCTGCCTGGGCTCCTTGCCCTGTCTGGTTGACAAGAGGGCAGAGCTCAGGGCCTGCCCTGTTTCTACACATAGGGAGGTTAACTAAGATCTCTGGTGCCTCTCAGAGTTTGGGACCCAGGCAGTCATTTGAACCTCCAGGACTGTTTGGTGGTCCATTCCTCTGTTTGAGGGAAGCTGGCCTGCTGCCCTGTACCAGCATTTCGTGTGGCTGGAAATGAGGAGAGAGCTGTTGGTGTCATTGCTGAAAAGAATAAACATGTGTCCCTGGACCTAGAGTTCTGGCTTGTGTTGGCAGCTGGTTTTCCTCTGGAAGCACTGGTACGGGGTTCTCATGGTTGGGGGACAGGGGCAGGTGAGCCTGGGAAGAAAGCGGAGACAGAGAGTGTTCCTACATCTCCAATGGCTGTTACTTACATCTAACGACATACATTGAGGATCTGGAACCACTGGACTTAGTTGGGGGAGGGGAGTATGTTCTGGAATAGAGGGGGATCCTCTAACCTCCCCATCAGGATCACAGCCACTGAGCCACAGTGAGGACACACAAATGTGCTAGGATTCACTCAGCCTGGAATTTCCCCTGCTGGACCATTTGCAGCTCACTGGGTAGGCTCCCCAGAGATCAAAAGATCAAACGGTCCTTAGGAGAGCTCTTGTCTGAGCCTGCTGACTCTCAGCCGTCCACCTGACAGCACTCATCCAGTCTCTGAGGGACACAGGTGTTCTTCATACCTCTGGAAACAACTTTGGAATGACAGGTAAACTCCCTCCCTCCCACCCCTCATTCCCTCTGTCTAGACAAATGGGCACTAGGGTCTTGAAAGGTAAGCATTTTTCTTCCACCAGCCATATGCTGTATTTTCTATTATTATTGTTGTTGTTGTTATTGTTATGATGATGATAATGCCAGTACTGGTGCTTGAACTCAGAGCCTAATGCTCTCACTACTGTTAGCTCATAGCTGAGGCTCTACCACTTGAATCATGCCTCTGATTCATTGGAGACAAGAATCTTATAGGTTTGTCTGCCCAGGATGGCTTCAAACACCCATTTTCCAATCTCAGCCTCCTGAGTAGCTAGGATTACAGGCACAAGCCACCTCGCCCAGCCATAAGTGCTTATCCTATGTATTCATTTTATTTCAGGAAACTACCCAA